CCCCCCCCCCCCCCCCCCCAATCTGGCTTTGGCCTCTAGCCCAATAGTGGAGAGGAGGTAGATTGTCCTGTTTGGAGAATGGGGAGCATCAGTTACTGTGGAAGCTGAGGCTACCCCCCTCCCCACCCTAAATAAGAACAGAGCTGTGTCTCTCATGATAATGGTTTTGACGTGAATAAAGTTTTAAAGACTAGTCCTGTGGTCTCTGCCTGCTGGAATTCCCACTCCAGTTTGTCTGGGTCTGGGGCACAGGCAATGTGAAAACACAGAGAGGAGAGGTGCCTGTGAGCCCTGCAGATGGGCTCCCCATGAAGCATTTCATTCCCCAGCAAAGGCCTCAACTCAGCCTTGGATGGTCTGCTTCTCCCTGGCCCCCCCCCACCACCACCATCACCACAGTCTGTTTTGGCTACACTCCTCCCCCCTCTGGTAATTGACTAATTACTGGAGATTAATGTTAGTAAACAGAAGCCTTCTTCTTCTCTACCATCTGCTCCTCCATTATTTCCCCATTGCATCCCCCACCCCACCCCTAGCCCCAGTGATCCAGCATGGCCTAGCATTCCCATCCATCCATGGGATCAGAACTGGGTAGGGAATTCCTTGGCTCCAGGGGTCAGGGTGGGGCACTTTTAAATGTCATGGAGGCCACGGAGCTGACAGACTTTATTGGGAAAAGAAACTGCCTCTTTAGGAGCTGGCTGCCTCTGAGGTAGCTGGATCCTGGATGGCAGCAGTGGCCACTGCAGCAGCTCGTGCTTCCTTTTTCTGCCTTTGTTTTTCCTCCTTGAGGCGCTTGCGCTGCTGCTTCTCCAAGTCCTGCAGCAGTTCCTGGAAACGGGTGCTCCTCGGGTCCACATGGTAGCCTAGGCGCTCCTGGGCCTCAGCTTGCAGCCTTGCCCGCCGTTCCTTATCTGCCTGTGCTTTCTCCCAGCGTTCCCGCTGCTGCCGCCGCCAATCCTCAATCATCTGTGGCATCTTGGCCATCTGCTCCGCGATGAGTTGCTCCCTGATGGGGACAGAAAATGGGTGGTGTGGATACCCTTACCCAGAGCCCAACTATACATCCTACCAACAGACGTTTGCCACATGAAAAATGTAAAAGATTGATACTGCCATTAACTGTCATGAAAAGCTCTGACAAGTGAAGAAACAGGCAGGAGAGATGAGCCCCTATGTGGCCTCAAGCTTATGGCTATGTCAGTCCAACATTCACTGAGCCATCCAGAGACCATTCCCACAGACAAGCTAACTCCTTCATTCAACTGTCATCATTGAGTGTCTACTGTTAGGGGCACAGAAGTAGAAGCAAAAAGCTATTCTCCAACCCACTGAGGGTCCCATTGTAAGGATTAGAAAAATGATCCTGAAAGAACTAAAACCAGGGTCAAGTAGCTAGGACGAGGAGAAACTGGAAACCCAGGCTCACATGCCAGCTCCACCTGATTACTGCCAGGGTGACCCTGGACAGGAGCCTCTACTCTCCGGGTCTGTTCCTTCTCTAAAATCAAGATGAACCTCCCTCTTAAGCTCTTGCCAGAACAAAGATTTTTAAACACCAGGAACCACATCTGCTGGCTGTCTACCTTCTACCAGGAAGTGGTACTGTCCTGGTCTTCCTTCAAAACACTGAACCAAATCTGTCCTCTGCCCTTGATTCCAGGCAAGCAGCAAGATCCTACTGCTGTGGTTCTAGTCCCAGCAATCCTATCCCCACTACACAGCCAAAGGGAGCTAGTAAAGACCTGAATCAGACCATGTCCTTTGCTCAGAACTTTACATGGCTCCCACCATGCATCCCACAAAGTCCTGCATAACCCATCCATTTGACCCCTGGTCCTAGTCTACCCTTCACATTGTTCGAGCCACACCAACCTCTTGGCTATTCCTTGGTGATAGTCCTACCAGAGCCTTTGTACCGACTGTTACCTCCTGAGAACTCTACCAAGATTTTCCCATGACTCTTTTCTAGTCATTATGTGTTGAAAATCGAGTTGGTCCCAACACATAGTGACCCTATGCATAACACAAGGAAACACTGCCTAGTCTTGTGCCATCCTCACAATTGTTAGCACATTGGAGCCCATTGTTGGTGCTCCTGTGTCCATCTTTTTTTGCTGACTCCACTTTACCAAGCATGATGTCCCTCTCGTACATGACATGGACATGTCATGTTAACATGTCTGAAGGTTTGCTATCCTCACATCCAAGGATCAATCGGGTTGTACTTAGTCATTAAGGTCTCTGCTTTTAAATACCACTTGAGGCTTTCCAAACCAAAGTTGTTGCTAGTGAGTGGTTTCTGACCACAGTAAATAACCTCAAACACAGAGTAGAAATGCTATGTAGGATTATCAAGGCTGTAACCTTTCTGAGCAGATTTCCAGGTCAGTCCAGGTTTGAACCACTGACCTGGCTAGTAGTCAAGATCTTGACCGTTTGCACCACACAGGAACTTAAACCCAAGATGTCCTCCCCAATTTACACTCTCATCGTGTTGACAGGACACAATCAGTGTAGTATTTGATGATGAATAACCAAACAAAGGGGAGGGCTGTTTGGCACCTAGGAGAACATGCATGCAGACTCCACTACAGGTACCCGATGGACCAGAGGCACCTTGTAGGGTTTAGATCACCCACGGGGGCCGGAAGGGCAGTCTCAGCGCACACACGCACCTGGCCTGACGTTTCTGTTCTTCGGCCAGCTGCTGAGCGCGGAGCGACTCCTGCATGGCCGCTAGGCTAGGGCACCACTCGCGCTCCTCGGCCTCCAGCTCGCTCAGCTGCTCCCGCGATGGCCACAGTGAACCCGGGGCCACCCCGGAGGCGGCGCCGTGCCGAGCGAACTGCTTGGCCGCATAGCGCGGTTCCAGCTGCCAGCGTGGGGTGAGCGGGTCCTCCGGGTTCGGCCACCAGGGCCCTGGAGAGCGGCGTGGGGGTGGCGGCGCCCTATACCTGCGAGAGCCCGGGTTCAGGGTGGCCATCAGCCGGAGCAGGCCGCGGAGTGGCTGGGCAGGAGCCGCCATCTTGACCGTGTAGGGTCTTGGTGGGCCGACCCGGCAGGCCGCAGCTCAACCTGCGCGCGAGGGCTGATGGGGGCTTTGGGGCGTGGCGAGCCGGGCCGTTGGGCCGCACTGTTGCCTTAGTTACGGGGAGGGAGGGAAGGAGGAAGGGAGAAGAGGACTATATATTTTATACATTTTCAAATTTTACTTATTTTAAAAAGTGCTTAAGTTTTGATTTTTATTATCAATGTTGTTATGTGTCGTTGAGTCATTTCTGACTCTTAGCGACCCTGTATAGTAGGGTTTTTGTATTAATATATGATTTTAAACAGCGTCTAATTTTTATCTTTTAAATTTAAATATTTTAAAAATTGTACTTAAGTACTCGTTTAAAGTTTTTTTAATATGATCTCAATTTTCAGGATCATTTGCATATTTTCTATTAAATGTCATTTTAAATACTTAACTAAGTGATGTTTAAATAGCACCCATAATGTTAGAAGGAGGCTTGGTGGTGCCTTGGGGTAATTTCTGGCTGCTGATTAAAAGGTGTCACCAGCCACTCTTGGGAAGAAAGATGTAGCAGTCTGCTTTCATAAACTTTACATCCTTGGAAACCCTATTGGGTTGTGTGGCGCCTTATAATAAGTGCTGGCCTTCAACGTCAGTCTGAACTACAAGGTCGGCGGTTCAAACTCACCAACTGCTTCTCGAAAACCCTACGCAGGGTCACTATGAATCAGACCCGACTCGGTGGTACTTAACAACTGTGTCCTAAAAGTCACTATCAGTCGGAACGGACTCAATATCAGTGTGGTATAAAATTGTATATTTAATTTTTAAATTTTGGACTTTAATATCTTAATTAAAAATTTTTTGGAAGTTATTTATAACCTTACCTAAACATAAAATATTTACTTAAATGTCTGTTCATTTAAAATGGAATGTAAATAAGATATTTATGTAAGTACTTTTAAGTTTAATTATAAATCTTTTATTTTTTTGTTTTGAAATGTTGAAGCTTTTTTGACATAGTGTACAAATCAAACAATACCCAAATAAGAGCTTGAGCCAGGGACACTCGTTACGTGCTGTCATGTTGGTACTGAGTGATAGCGACAGAACAAAACACTGCTGGACCCTGTGCCAACCTCACAATCCTTGCTAAGCTTGGACCCATTGCCCCTGCTACTGTGCTGATCCATTTTATTGGGGGTCTTCCTCTTTTTCGATGGCCCTCCACATTACCAAGCATGATATCTTTCTCCAGGAAACTGGTCCCTCCTGGTAATATGTCCCAAGCATGAAAGACAAAGTCTGGCCATCCTGGCTTCTAAAGAGCATTCTTCCAACACAGTCCTTTGTTCCTTTGACAGTCCATGGTACTTTTAATATTCTCTTCCAAAACCATTATTCAAATGCATCAATTCTTCTACAATTTTCTTTATTCATTGTCCAACTTTCACATGCATATGAGGTTATTGAAAATACCATGGCTTGTGTCAACCACATTTTAATCCTCAAACTGACATCATTGCTCTTGAACACTTTAAAGAGGTCTTGTACAACAGATTTGCCTAATGCAATACATCGTTTGATTTCTTGACTACTGCTTCCACGAGTATTGATGATTGATCTGAGCAAAATGAAGTCTTTCACAACTTCAGTCTTTTCTCCATTTATTTTAATGTTAAGAAGACAAGAAAAAAGGAAAAGACCAAAATGATTGCCAGAGGAGACACTCTAAATTGCTGTCCAGTGTAGAGATACTAAAGCAAATGAAAGAAATGAGGAGGTAAAAGAGCTGAATAAAAATTTCAAAGGGCAGCTCGAGAAGACAAAGTCAAATATTATAATAAAATGTGCAAAGACCTGGAGTTAGAAAACTAAGATGGAAGAACATGCTCAGTATTTTTCAAGCTGAGGGAAGTGAAAAAAAAAGGCACACTTAAGCCAGGACAAAAATAGTCAGAGCAGCACCACATATATTAATCTGAAACTGGAAAACAACTCACAACTCAGGAGTCCATCTGCAGTAGAATGGATACCTAAGTTGGGATGTTTTACCCAATTGATCACTACACAGGAATGAAAGAGGAGCAGAAATGCAACTGCATACAGCAACATGGATGATTTTCACAGACATGGAACCAAAAAAGCAGGATCCAAACAATTCTTTTTCATAAAGATTCACAAAAAATTATTTCATCCTGCAAACATTACACAAGTGGTCCCTTTGGTATAAAGTTTAAAAATCCTGCTGTTATGATGCTGTCTTCAGTGATAAAGGATAAAGCAAAGCAAATCAGTGATCATTCCAGAAGTCGACATGGGGGCACGTCTAAGGGGACAGGAGTGGATGTTGTCTTAGTGGTGGTCACATATGGTCAGTTCACTGAGTAGGGCATTTTTCAGTATGTGGGCTATGTTGTTGTCAAGTTGGTTCCAGCGCATAGTGACTCTGTGCAAAACAGAACGAAACACTTGGGGCGGTGCAGAGGGCGGGTCTTTCTCTTTTTCGTTGATCATCCACTTTACCAAACATGATGTCCTTCTCCAGGGACTGGTCCTTTCTAACAACATGTCTAAAGTAGGAGAGAGATGTTACCATCGTAACTTCTAAGGAACAATCAGCCATACTTCTTCCAGAGATTTGTTTGTTCATTCTTCTGGCAGTCCATGGTACTTTCAATAGTCTTCCCTGATACCAGAATTCAAATGCATTAATTCTTCTCTGGTCTTTTTTATTCATTTTCTAGTTTTTGCATGCATATAAGGCAATTGAAAACACCTTACCTTGGGTCAGGCATACCTTAGTTCTCAAATGACATCTTTGCTCTTTAACATCTTAAGAAAGTTTTTGTAACAGATTTGCCTATTGCAATACATCATTTGATTTCTTGAATACTGCTTGTGGGCTGTATTTGATTCTATTTTTTCACCTGGGAAAATGTTAAAGGGATGCCTAATTATAAATTATGTTTTTAAGTGCCATTGATTCAGTTCTCACTCATAGTGACCCTGTCTGTATAGGATTTCTAAGGAGCTGCTGGTAGGTTTGAACCACTGACCTTGCAATTAGTAGTCCTTATCCTACAGCACCACACCAGGAGTCTGGTTATAAACTAGAGGGATTTCTATTTGTGTTGCTTTTTTTTGTTATGTTTACAATGTTTAAAAAAATGAAAATTTTGTTGTTGTTATTGTGCTAACTCATAGTGACCCTATGCACAACAGAGTGGAACACTGCTTGGTCCTGGGCCAACCTTACAATCATTGCTACACATGAGCCTGTTGCTGTTACCACTGTGTCAATCCATCTCGTTGGGGGTCTTCCTCTTTTTCTCCGACCTTCAACTTCACCATACAAGATATCCTGATTCCTACTGACAATATGTCCAAATTTTGAAAGACGAAGTCTGGCCATCCTGGCTTCCCAGGAGCACTCTGGTTGAACTTCTTCTCCAGCACCATAACTAAAATGCATCGATTCTTCTATGGTCTTCCGTATTCATTATCCAACTTTTACATCCATATGAGGTTATTGAAAATACCATGACTTGGGTTAGGCACACCTTAGCTCTCATGCTGACATCTTTGCTCTTCAATACTTTAAATAGGTCTCATGCAGCAGATTTGTCTAATGCAATACGTTACTTGATTTTGTGACTGCTGCTTCCATGAATGTTGATGGTTGGTCTTTGATCTTCGTCAGTATTTTAAGTCCTTTTCAAATTCAGCAAGCAAGATTGTATCATCTGTGTATTGCAGGTTCCTAATAAATTTTCTTTCAATCCTGATGCCACGTTCTTCTTCATATAATCCAGTTTCTTGGATTATTTGCTCAGCATACAGATTGAATAAATACGGTGAAAGTATACAACCCTGGAGTACACCTTTTCTAATTTTAAACCATTCGGTGTTCCCTTGTCCTGTTCAAGCAACTGTCCCTTGTTGAATGTACAGATTCCTCATAAGTACAATTAAGTGTTCTAGAATACTCATTCTTCACAATGTTGTTCGTAGCTTGTCATGATTCACACAGTAGAAAACCTTTGCATAGTCAATAAAGCACAGATAAATACCTTTCTGGTAGTCTCTGCTTTCCGCCAAGATCCATCTGATGTCAGCAATGATAACCCTCATTCCACGTCCTCTTCCGAAACCAACTTGAACCTCTGGAAGTTCTCTGTCCATGTATGGTTGCAGCTGTTTTTGTATTATCTTTAGTAAAACTTTACTCACATGGGATATCGGTGATATTTTCAGATGATTTCGGCATTTCATTGACCGCCTCTCTTTGGAATAGGCACAAATATGGATCTTTTCCAGTCAGTTGGCGAGGTAGTTATCTTCCGAATCTTGGCCTCCAGCGCTGCATCAGTTTGTTGAAAGATTTCGATTTGCATTCCATCTATTCCTGGTACCTTGTTCTTTGCCAATACACCAATCAGTGCACCTTGAACTTCTTTCTTCAGAATCATTGGCTCTTGATTATATGCTACCTTTTGAAATGGCTGAATATCGACCATTTCTTTTTCGTATAGTGACTGTATTCCTTCCATCTTTTTTTTTTTTTTTAAATATTATGAATTATATGATAGTTTACATGGGAGAAC